TGCAGGCGAGGCCTCCCCCGTGGTGGCCGGCGTGGCGGCCAGCGGCCAGCCAGGATCTCCTGGGGGAGCGACGCGGGGGCTTGGGCCCTGGAGGCCTCCCTCTCGGCTGTCCCACGAAAGCCGCCACTGCGCTGGGAAAATGCGGGGAAGCGGGTCGGACCCGGAGGTCATTTGCGCAAAAGCTCTCAGTGGCGGCTGCAGGGGAGGGCGAGCGTGGCTCTGGAGCACCTGTTGCTGGCTGGACTGCAAGGTGCCGGGAAGGGAATTGGAGGCGGCTGCCGGTGGCGACTCCCTCGATGGCCCTTTCCTGTTTCCCGTGTTGGGGAAGCATTGCCCGCAGCACCAGTCACCGGCAGCGTGGGTGGATGTGGGGGCTGACCCGTATTGTGCCTCTGCCCCCCTTTGGGAATGAGCGCCGGACCTTGGCCTGACCAAGCGTGGCGCATTTCTTAGTGCCTGAAGTTCGCTTTCCAGCTGGCCGTGGACCTGGATTTCCATTGGCTTGTTTTTAAGTCGATCCTGGAGTCTGACCACCCCTGTTCTAAGGCATTTGTAACTGGCATTTTTCTCAGTTTAATATGTGTGTTAGTTGTTCACCTACCTGTTGAAGTTGGGTTGCTGAGCTTGTTAATGTGTAAGGGTGATGGCCATGGTCAAATGGTCGAATGTGGCTTGCCTTATTTGGTGTCTTCAGTCAAACTGAAAACATGTTTTAGACCCTTCTGTTACCCCACTCCTGTGAACTTCATGGGTAAAATGCCCAAGCCATGGTGGACAAGGACAAGTATTTCTGTGAGCCGTCTCGAGGCTATATAGCAAGGGGACGGCGTACAAAAACTTTAAATAAATATATAAATAAATAATAAGTAGATGATTGGTAACTGCTGTGGTCCTGGATTTTAGAAGGCCTGAAGATAAGAATGGCAGGAGGTGTCACAGCCTGTCACAAACTCTGCTTTGCTTTCTGCAGGAGGTCATCGTCATCCCCTTGTCTGCACTGCCTCGTTTCACACCAGCTTCCCGACTCGCGCCAAAGAGGATTTCTACCAGATTTTGGGAGTGCCTCGAACCGCCAGCCAGAAGGAGATCAAGAAGGCCTATTACCAGGCATGTTTGCTGAACAGAAGGGAGCCCAAGACAAAGACACACGCATGCCTTGCTTTATCGTAGCCTTTACTGACCTGGCATTACTGGATGTGTCGTCGTGTCGGGACTGCAGCCTCCACCACCCCCAACCATGATGTATTATAATACTGCCAGAGAGACCCGTTATTTGCGTCTCACATCTGATGCTCAAAGGTTGATCATAAGGGTGTCCTCCCAGAATGCTGGCCTTATTTGCAGCCACCCCGCCAGATGGGCTGGTCCTTGGCGTGTGCACCTGCTGGCCTGCCTTTGTCAGGCCGCACTGGTGACGCCAAGGCGGCCTCTCCTGCGAATTGCCAGGCTACCTGGGGGTTAACTGGCCAGCCTAGGATTGCCCCGAAGAAGGATGCAGACTGTACTGCATCTCCTCAGAATGACTCGCCTGATCACATTTATTTAGGGAGCGAAGTGGGGGAAAGAAGGAGCTAAAGAATTTTAGGATGGTTGGAATGGATGTTTGTTGCACCTGAATACAGTATTCCTCTGAAATGGATTTTGTTCTGGAATTTTGATTTTGGGGTCTTTTCTGCCTAGCTTGCGAAGAAGTATCACCCGGACACAAATAAAGATGACCCTAAAGCAAAGGAGAAGTTCGCGCAGCTGGCTGAGGCGTACGAGGTAACAGGCGTGTCTTCTGCGTACTGCGGTCGGTGCATGGTGGGGCTGTGCCGTCCGTGCGATGCGAGCGAGCGAGCGAGCGAGCGCTGACACGGACCGCCTCCCCTGCAGGTCTTGGGCGACGAGGGGAAGCGGAAGCAGTACGACACTTACGGCACAGCGGGCTTTGATGCCGGCACGGCGGGCTCCAGGCAGCAGCACTGGCGCGGCGGTCCTACTGTGGACCCTGAGGAGCTGTTCCGGAAGATCTTCGGGGAGTTCTCAGGGTCCCCTTTTGGGGAATTTCACACTGTCTTTGATCAGCCACAGGAGGTGAGTGTGACGAGCGTGCTCCCTTTCCTCACACGATGCTTGTGTGAGACAAGCCCCTGAATCCGAAGAGTAGGGCTGAACAAGCAGTAATGTGGAGGGGAGAACCTGGGAGTGGGCCTGGAGGAAGGCTTAAACTGGCCGTTGCCCCCCCCGCCCCCCCCAGCAGCAAGCCTTTGAAACTAGACGGAAACACCGGAAGGCGGGAGCAGCGCCCTTCTCCTGCCCCAGGGCCTCCCCTGCAGGGGCACTGCATTCACACAAACTTGGGAAAGGTGAGCTTGGGAGGATGCATTTGTGGAGGAAGCACATCTGTAGGGCCTTCTGGGGGCTGAGACTTTTCTGCTGGTGGGCTGTGTTTTACCTAACATGTTGCAAAATTTAGGACATATGCCGCTGGAGAAAATGAGTGAAAAAGGCTCTCAGGTACTGGCTTAGCAGGTGCTCGGCACACCTTCTGCACCCTTCGCGCCGAGGGCCCTACTGGGCAAGGTCGGCCTTCAGCTTGTGCAGCAGGGGCCTGGAGTTGGTGCTGTGGCGGCTCCTTTCCTCCCTCACCAGCAACACCGGTTTTCATGAACATTTTAAATTTGGTATAGGCTCATCCTTGCAAACAAAATGAACAAAGAAAAGCATGTCAATTTTACACGCTGGGCAAATGTTTACCAATTTCTAGTAGTGGTTGAATGGCTATATTAAGGGAGACGTGTTAGTAACGTACATTTAACTGGACTTTATTCTGAAACTTTCCTAGACTGTTTGCAGATACCTTAATACATGATCTCTCGATCATGTATTAAGAGAGATACACACATATTTTCCTTCCGTTATTTAGATGGGGGAGAACGCCGCCGCTGAAAACAAAGCAAACTACGTTGAAGAGTTATGCATGTATACGGCTATGTGTTGCTCAGAGAAAGTCCCTTGAAAAATTAAGCACAAATTTCATTTTAGCTTTGGGCGATGCTGTATCCATCCAGATGTCCAGTTTGACTGAGGAGGTGGTCGCCCAGCTGCTTCCTTATGCAGAAGGTCCTTGGGTGAACCCACAGTGCCTCCCAGTTGCTCTGGAAGCTGTCCCGCCCAACACCCACGCGAGCAGTTGCTGCCAGCCAGTGTCGACAGCACTGGGCGAGTTGGACCCAGGCCCTGCCCCAGCGGAAGGCAGCTTCCAGTGCTCTTGGGACCTGTGCTAGAGCTGCCGTGTGCTTTGCTGCCCGGATCGCTCCATCTTTCCTCACGCAGAATCCCCGCTCTTGCACCGCGGCCCTTCGCTGTGCGGGCCGGAAAAGAGGCCTGTGCTCTCGAGGGCGGCCCGTCAGCTGCTGCCGCTGCTCTCTCCTTCCCTGCAGTACATCATGGAGCTGACGTTCAACCAGGCCGCCAAGGGGGTGAATAAGGAGATCGTGGTGAACATCAACGATTCCTGCCAGCGGTGCGGTGGCAGAGGGAACGAGCCCGGCACCAAGCTGCAGCACTGCCACTACTGCAACGGCACCGGCATGGTAAGCGCTGGGCGGGCGGGCGGGCGGGCGCGCAGCCGCCCTGGGCGGGCTCCCCCCTGCAGAGCCTGCTCCGGGGGCCAGCGCGGCCTCTGCCGCTGGAGGAGGGCCGTCCTCGTTCGCTGAGCTCGGTCAGGCCGAGGCGCTGGGGATTTGGGCGAGACCCCGCCGCCCCCGCCCTCGGGGCAAGGCGGTGGGAGGCTGCCGTGGCCACATCCGCCCCCCTGCCTCTTCTGCTCGATAGGAGACGATCAACACGGGCCCCTTCGTTATGCGCTCGACGTGTCGGCGATGTGGCGGCCGTGGCACCACCATGACAAACCCTTGCATGGTCTGCCGCGGCACGGGCCAGACCAAGCAGAAGAAGTCGGTGATGGTCCCGGTTCCAGCAGGTCCGTACGCCTCGGCTTTTCCGCCGGAATAGCAGCCGCTCTTTTTGTGTGAAATTGCTGGCTTGTTTGCTTGTTCTGCTGCCTGCAAAATACGCTGGGGAAGGAAGCCTGGCCTTGTGAATATGTTTAGAGCTAGGGGCCTGGTGAGTGGGCAGCTTCAGAAACTGGGCATGGAAAAATTATTGCCTTTGCCCCCAAACTGTGCAGTTCCCGAGTGGAAGAAACCTAAACAGTGGGGCAGAAGGTTGACATTTATGGCACTGCAGTGAGAGAGAGTGAGGGGCAGTGCTGGAGTGCTGGGCTGGGGACCTGAGGGCTCCGTTTGAGCCCCCTCGCGGCTGAGGGCTTCAGCCATGAAATGCATTGGGTGACTGGGCTAATGGTGGACCTTTGGCCTGACCTCCCTAACGTTATTCTCTACCTTGTTGTGAGAATAAATGGAGCCGAGAAGAGCTACGTAAGCCACTGCAGCTCCGTCACAGGAGGAAAAAATGCTGGGGTATAAATGCAGTGTAATAATGCAGATTGTTCTGGCTTCAGGTGTGGAGGACGGACAAACTGTGCGGATGCCTGTAGGAAGCAAAGAGGTTTTCATCAGCTTCAGGGTGCGTATGTGCTTGGGCCCCCGCCCGGCCCTGCAGCGTTTGCGGGTGGCGAGGCCGCTGCAGCGCTGTGTCCACTCTCCGATTCCAGGTGCAGAAAAGCGCTGTGTTCCGGAGGGAGGGCGCGGACATCCACTCGGACCTCTACATCTCCATAGCACAAGCCGTCCTTGGAGGCACAGCCAGGTCGCCGGGTCTGTACGAGACCATCAATGTCCCGGTAGGTCGTGCAGAACCTCAGTGGGCTTCTCCATCTGCCTCGAAAGACACGGGTGACTTTCCCCACGGTGGTGCTGAGGGGCAGCTCAGGACTCGCTCCACAGGTGTGGGGGCGGCACGCTGCGTCCGCTCTTGAAACTGGGCTGGCTCGCGCCTCAGGAGGTCAGCTAGAGCCGCTGGACCGGAGCTGGCCGCATCATTGCCTGGAGAGCGGCTGGCAAGCTGCCTGCACTGCACGTTCCTTTCAGCTCGTCCTTCAGCAAGGCTCAGCATTTCACTCCTGGGATTTCTGCCGCACTCCCCAGTCAGGGTTGGATGCTACCTGTGGAGCCGGTTGAGGGAGCTCTGCCCAGGGAGCCGGTGCTGCATAATGGCTAAGTGTGCTGGACGGGGATGTGTGCTGCCGCTCAGCCACGGAGCTCGCTTTGGGCCAGTCACTGAATCTCCGTCCAGCCGACCTCACAGGGTTGCTGTGCAGATAAACTGGGGAGAGGGAGGGGTGTGAGTTCCTTTCAGGAAGAAAAGGTGGGGTGGAAGTGCAGTGAACACTTAACGTGTGGGGTTGGCATCACGATGTCATCATGTCCGCATGGGGGACTCCATCGGTCTTTCCCGGCAGAGCTTCAGGTGGACTTGGACTGACCAGAGTGGCGATCCAGCTGCTCTCGTGGTGCTTTTCTGCGTCTAAAGGCATACCCGCCGCCTACTCTTGCTGCCCTTGTCCCGAATATCCCCGTCCTCCTGCATCCCTCCAGGCTTGGGTAGCAAAATGCCAGGAAATGACTCGGAAGCCCGTCCAGAGTCGCAGGTTGCATCTGCGGCGGTTGCTGGTGCCTCTCCCCGGTGCAAGGGCTGCTTGGAGGAGCCGCGTCCCGCATGAATTGGCTGCCGGGGGAGCGGCTGCCCTCAGTGGGGCGCTGCCTGGGGGAGAAAGGCCGGGCATGTGCGGAATCGCCCGAGGGGGCTTGACGGGCCCACTATCCCTCTTGCTGAGCAGATCCCGCCTGGCATTCAGGCCGACCAGAGGATCCGGATAAGTGGGAAAGGCATCTCCAGGGTTCACAGCTATGGCTACGGAGACCACTACATTCATATCAAGATCAAAGTTCCCAAGTAAGTGACCGGGTTCTGTGAGATCGTGGTGGAGAATTCAGCTGCGCGTCCTGCAAAGAGGCCTCAAGTGCGGGTTGCTGTGGAGTCACGCGGTTTCCCACCAGAAAATTGGCCAGGCTGAGAATTCCGGGCCCTGGGGCTCCACTTGGCAAGAGAGGCCTCGGTCGTAGGGAGAGCCGAGGTGGGGGGAGCAGCCCCTGCCGTGGAGGGGAGGGGTCCGGCTCAGGGACCACACGGCCCTCCCTGGTGGGCACTTCTTATCGGGCCAATCAGTTCTCCTGGAGGCCCGCGGTGCAGGCGCTCTTCCTCTCGGCCCACAGGAGGCTGACGGACCGCCAGCGAGCCCTGATGCTGAGCTACGCGGAGGATGAGACGGAGGTGGAGGGGACTGTGAACGGCGTGGCAAGTACCAGGGCCGGTAAGGTGGCACGGGACCGCAGGGCGCTGCTTGGCCCCCGGTGCGGGTGGCGGGATGTGGGCACCTGGAGGTGTGGGGCTTGCAGCTGCGCCTGCTGCAGGGCTGCCACGGGCAGGTGGCGGGCCACCGTGTCCCACGGAAAGAGATGAGCTGCGCCTTCTGTCCCGTGCGTCCTCTCCCTTCGCTGACCCCTAAAGCAGGGCGAGAGCGACACTCTGGGGTGGGGAGGGGGCGCACTGTCACGAAAGGCAGCCGATTCTTTTCCGCCTGCAAAGGGCGAGTGGAACATCCCAGCCTTTTCTGGCCACAGTTCCCACGCGCCACAGTGCCCCCTGCTGCTCTCCGAACCGGAAGGACTAGCAGCGACTAGCAGCGTGTGGCTCTTCCGTTCGGCATGGCCACCCAGCGGCCTGTTGTGTGAGCGGCCTCTCCCGCTTTCCCCCGGATCAGGCCTTTGAGGCTGCTGCTCGCGCAGCCCAGCCCAGCGGGAGTCACGTGGTGGGGCCAGAGGAGCGTGTTCTGCTCCGGGGGCCATCCTGAGCAGCAGACGGCCTCCTGGACCCCCTCCCTGGTTGCCGCAGGGCTGGCTTTGTGCTGCGACGCATCTAGTTCCCTCGTATTGCAGCCTTCTTACACGAGGGTAAAGTTAAGCTGAACGGGAGTCAAAAGGGCCGAAGGGTATCTCTACTGACCGTTGACGGGAGAGACTCAAGTGTAACTGATAGACATAAAGGTGTAGCAAAAGATGTACGTTAAACATGACAAACTATGAGCAGCAAAGCAGATGGAGAGCAAATATCAAGACAGAAACTGTTGCGCTTCTGGGCAAGGAAACCAAATTTAAGAAAAAACAAAAAAGGGCAGGAGTGAAAGGGGTCCCAGGTGGCTCACCCCGTGCCCACCATCAGGGCCGCCCCAAGGGAGAGTCCCCACGCGGGTTGACGGGCAGCAGCGGCTGGGAGGCGCTTCCGGGGGGCGGCAGCCGCACGGCATGTTCTGACAGGGCTCTCTGCTGTTTGTGCCTAGGCGGCAGGGCCTCGCCTAGAGCGGGGGCAGGCGAGGAGAGGCCCGAGGCGGGGGACGGCGCGGAGGGATTCCTAGCTAAACTTAAGAGAATGTTTAGCTCCTGATTAACCCCGCCGGAGGTAGGAGGCCTCTCGTGTCCGTTCCACGCACAGGTCTCTGTGCTTGCCGCCGCTGAGCAGCCGCAGGATCGAGACCAGCCAGGAGGGCCGGGCAGAGCAGCCTCCCTCGGCCGAGGGGGAAGGGGCAGGGACACACGCCGGCCGTGTCTGCCACACGTGTGCAGCGCAGCTGGTCCGAGGCAGAGGGCGCGTCCAGCACCCGTCCGGTCCTTACCCAGAGGCCCCCTTTCCTGGCCTGTGCCCCCCGGCCCACCCACCAGCTCGCTCACTGCTCGACGTGGCTGCCTTGGCTCCGGCCCGAGCAGCCCGGGGCCAGGCGAGGCCTGGTGTGAGCCGCGTGTGCCAGTGCAGCCCCGTCCCGCGCCCTGGAGGCATTGGCCTTGCCGGACACACCGTGTCCCAGCCTGCGGCCGCACTGCGGAAGCTTTGCAGCCCCGAGAGAGCCCCCCGCCCACCTGAGCCGCTAGGTGCTCCCCGTGGCCTGGCCGTGGGCCCTGGGATGCTGCCGTTGCAGGGAGAGGTGAGGGGGCTGCCTTCCTGGAGCTGCCGACCTGTTTCCTCCCCCTGCAGGGCTGTCGAGGGTGGGCTGAGCCCCTTCCCCTAAGCGCGCCTGGGCCCCTGAACGGACTTCCCTTTGTGCTTTGGCTCCAGGCAAGCGCTCTGCTGGGAACTAGGCACGGGGCGACCGCCTTCTGGTGAGCGTTGCGTCCGGCACAGAGGTGAGGGGACCGCAGGAGCCTGGCGAGGATCTCTGGCAGACACACCGCACACCCTCCGGCTGTGGCAGCTGCACCGGTGGAGCGGGGAAAGGCCTCCGCCCTGGGGGTGGGACTGCGGGGGGCTGCCTGCGGAGCCGCGACGCGCTCCTGCCTCCCCAGGCTTGAAGAGACCTGGCGCCACCTCTCCTGGACTGATGCGCAGCACTGAGCGTGGGCCTCCAGCAAAAGTGCACCGTGCCTCTGGCTTGATGTGAGCTCCTGCGGTCAGAGGCTTGGACCGGCCCCACGGGGGCGCCCGGCATCCCGGGCCACCTCGCTGCTTTTGCCCCACATTCCAGAGAGAGCGGCTGCCTCGAGCCGCTCTTTCCGTGCTGGGGGCTCTTGGCTGCACAGCGGCGTAGTAGTTTTGCCCCGTCGGAGGCCGTGCTCTGGGCGGCAGCTGTGGCTTTCTCTGCCGAATTCGTTTCTTCTGAACGCACCGCCGTGGCTCAAGCGCCCACCTGAATTCATGGCCGCCTTGCCCCAGAGGAGGCGGCAAGCAAGTTCTGCAGCCACATGTTACCCACACTCAGAAGTCACAGCTGCTAGAGCATAGTGCGTGTACGTGTGGCAAGCTAGACGTGCCCGAGGGCCACAGAGGCGAGGCCGGTGCCAGGAGCGGACTGCCAGGAGCTGGCTGGGGGCGGAACGTGGCCGCTTGACAGCTGTGGGGTGAGCCCCACAGCATTCTTCCCCCCACCGAGCCCACAGCATGCACAGGCCTCTTCCGGAGTCATCTGGTGAGTCGCTCCACCAATGTGAATAGCGAAACTTGCTCAGTAAATGTGTTTAGAAGCAGGAGGTTGGTTTCTGTCTGTCAAATGTGTCGGTGCAGCTTGTGGGGACGGGGAGAGGGTCCCATGTTGGGCTTAGGTGCGGGGGGAGAAATTCCGCCCTTGAATGGAGAAACAAAATTGAGAAGAGACCCGCCAGACCTGTGGCTGGCGTGCTGCGATCAGGACGTGCCCCACCGTGGGTCAGCTGCAGCCGCTCGGCCTCAACCACATCCCACGGCCCCAGCCCAGAAGCGGAGGAACAGTCCAGCCAGTGCTGCTTTATTGAGAGAGGAGGACCCGGTGGCTGCGGGCAGCCCGGCCTCGCTAGCAGCCCGCTACAGGGCCTTGAAAGCGGCGCTGTGATCAGACACCCACTGCTCGAACGTTCTAGCCTTCGGGTTCAGCTTCAAGGTCAAGGAGGTATCGCGGGGCGGACGCACTCTGTAGAAGCGGAACATGTTGGCTAATTCCTGGGTACCGGGGAAGCCCAGCTTCTCAAAGGATTCGAGCGACATCTGCAGAAAGGGAGAGATCTCACTGGTCTGGCGAGGAGTGGGGGGGGAATGCGCTCCTGTGGCTTTTGGCCCCTTGTCGTGGCATGTGGTCCAGAAGGAGCGATTAACAGGTGCCTCCCTCTGCAGCAGGCGAGCGAGGCCCCGCCTTACCCTGGCATCTCTCACACGCATCCTGGTGTGCCTCGTCATCAGAGCCGCGTACTCGGCCGCGGTGAGCCTGCACGTGCTCAGCCCAATGTTCTGGCCCACGTACTTCTCCGGATCCTTCATCAGCTGGACCACAACCGGCCCGAGATCCGCCACAGCCATGCCATCCATGGGTACCTCTCCCATGGGAAGAGCTTCAGGAGAGAGGGAAGGAAGCGGCTGGAGGAAAGCATTGTGCAAGGGCCGGAGCAGGGCAGTCCCCTGACACGTTAAGAACACCAGCGCAGGCGGCGGAGGACCAAGGCTGTGTCCAGAGGGAGCGGGGACTTCGCCTGGCACCTTGTTTGTGCCTCCACCTTTTTCTGCACAGGTGGGTCTACTTGGCGAACCCCGGACACGAGCCTGCTTTTTCCCTTCCTCCTCCCAGTCCTCTTTCCTTTTAAAACGTGCTAGACCGAGAACCTACAGGCAGGAGCTGAAAGCCGCCTGGGGATGCTTTTTACCTCAACAGTGGGATAACGAGGCTATAATAAAATAAAATAACTTGCTCAAGAGAGCCTGAAGCACAGTGCTGGGCCGAGAAGCTTCCGCGTGGCTCCTTGGAGAGGGTGGCCTCGGGAGGTGCCACACCTCTTTCTCCAGGCAGCACCTCCTGTTGGCCTCCCTGCCGCGCAGGAAGCGCTCCTGGTCGGCACCGAGACAGTGAGGGGCACCCTGGTCCCGAGTGCGGGGCAGACCAGGGCTGCAGGTGCCGGGGGCAGAGGAGGGTGCCCTACCCAGCTCGTAGCCGTCTCCATCTTGCGCCTTCTTGGGCCGGAAGACGGTCAGGAAGTTCTCAAAGTAGCAGGGCAGCCTCAGGCTGGTCATGGGCACACCGATGGCTCGGAAGTACTCCTCCACCTCGCCTTTGCCGTCAAAGTGCGCCACCCGCAGCTGCCCGCCCGTCAGCCTCTGCACGTTCTCCAGGCCGCTGTACACGACGTAGCTCAAAGCCAGCTGCTTCGCCAGGTTTGCGACGTGCTTCCCCTGTGGGCAGACCAGGCGCAGAAGGGGTGAAACGAGGCCTCGGTGCACTCTGCCAATGAGCCACTGAGGCCCTTCCTCTGCCGCCTGCCGAGCCCAGGTGACCCGGGGCTGCCCCATGCGAACAGGAGTCATTCCCGCCATGCGCCATCCCGCTGGGTTGCAGCCCGGCCTGCACCTGCAGCTTCAACGACAGCTTGCTGGCCGAAGCTTTTGGCAGCTGGGCCGTCCGTGCTGCCACTCTTGCTCCCGACACATGAAGCCACTCGAGACAACCGCAGCCCCCGCTGTGCTAGGGAGGTGGTGGGCCACCACACTGGAGGCCAAGAGGCGGCTGGACAGCCAGCCAGGAAGGAGGGCTTAAATCGAACTCCTGCCCAGAGCAGGGGGACGGACCCAGCGGCCCTGTGGCCCCTTCCAGCTCTAGTATTCTAGGATCCTCGGACAGCGCCACCGGCCAACCAAACAGCCCCTGCTTACATCCCCCAAGCGGTCCTTCCCACCTGCAAGATTTCCTGGTCTTTGTTGAGATGATCCCAGAAATCCGTCACAAGGAAGACGGAGTGGGCAGCTCTCAGGGCCAGCTCCAGGCTCTGGGGGTCATCCAGGTCAGCCTTCACCACTTCGGCTCCCCTTCTGCGCAGTTCTTGGGCAGCCTTCTGATGGGGGTTGCGGGTGACAGCTCGTACCTGGAAGGTGGCATCTTCGAGGAGGGCCCTTGCCACAGAGCCCCCCTGAGCCCCTGCAGAGACGAAGCATGGTTCACGGGAGGGTCACAGGATACAACCCCCAGAGGACAAGGACAAAGCCCCTCCGCAGCCCCAGAAGGGAGCTGCCACACATGCCTTTGCCCCATTAGACTGGCTCACTGCTGCCTAATCTGGAGGGATGCAGGGGGACTTGCATCCCTCCAGATGTTCTGGCCCCTCAGCTCTAGCCGGCATAGCCGGGGAGGGAACGGCAAGGGTTGGGAGCCAGAACAGCCGGGGGGTGCACCTTGCTCATCTCTGCCTGGGTTCTGCATTGGCGGGCAGGTGGGGCTTGCCATCTGGTGCTTCAGACTGGAGTCTCTTTCCCCTGGAAGATACCAGGCATAGAAGCCAGGACTGTCTGTGTGGAGAGCAGTGGCTCCAGCACCAGACTGCAACCGCCACAAGTGTCAAAGCTGCCGTCTTTGGAGGGCACTTGTCCGCCTGCAAATGGCGCTTGAGCATGGGGCGAGTGCAGCGGGGGGCGGGGCGGGGCGCGGGCTCTTGGCTGGTCCGTGGTCACTGCAGCCCGAGGGTGGTCGCTGTGGGAAGGAAGGTGCTGGACTAGATGGGAGCCAGTAGCACGCGGCCCACACCACCCCTGCGGAAGCGCGTCTGCGCCGGGCAGAGCGACCTACCTGTAGCTCCAAAGACCACGACCAGGTTCTTGTCTGCCATGCCTGGCCTGGCCTGCCTGGAACTGAGCACAGAGGAGACGTTAGGCGCGCCCCTGGCTTTGCTATGGCCGCCGCCGCCGCCCGGATGCAGCCCACGCCCCCTCTGACCCCGGGTTGATCGGATGCCCCCCCCTTTGCACATTAACCCGGCAAACGGGGCACGCTGTGGTCGACACACGTGTTACGAGCAAAGTCCGTGTGAACGTGACCCATGACACGTGGCTCTCCACAAGCCCGAGGCCGTCTTGGTTGCTGGGGCAGCGGCTGGGCGGATTGCTGGGGCAGCAGAAAGGGGGGCGGGTCAGTCTGTTTTCCCTGCGCCGCCGCCGCCGCCGCCACGACGGGTGGCGCGAGGCACTCTGCCTATGCTCAGAGGTCCTCTCACTAGTGTTCGCGGCCAGCGGCCAGAGCGCCTCCGAGCCAGAGCCTCGGCGGATTACGTCACCAACCCGGAAAGGGGACGCCCATTGGCGCAACCCGCCTGTCACGGGATGCCGACGTGCTCTCGGAGTGGCTGGGCGGGGCACCACGTGACCGACAGCGGGACGACGCCCTGCAAGCCTCCCCGCGGCGCCGCCAGGGGGCGCGGCGGGCCGAGCGAGGGGGCGGGGCCTCCTCGACCGGCGCGTGCGCGGGACGTCACAGGCGGCCGCCCCGTGACAGAGACGGCGCGCGGCTCCCGGGCGACGGGCGTGCGCGGCCGGGAGCAGCAGCCGCGGCAGGCGCGCCGGGGCCCTTCGCCGCTCCGTCCCTTGCTCCGTCCGTCCGTCCGTCCGTCCGTCCGTCGCTCGCGGCCCCGCGGAGCGGCCCTCCCGCAGCCGCCCCGCAAGGTAGGCCGGCAAGGTCGGCCCTCTGCGGCCCGCGGGGACCTTGACCTGCGGTGCAGCCGCGGTCGGGCCTCCGCACGGCGCCGTTCGCCGGGCTGACGCGGGCCACGGCTGCCCGGGTGTGCGGGGCGGCCCGGGTCTCCCGCTGCTCGAGTCCCGGGCGGGCCCCGAGGCAGCTCGCAGCCTGCCGGGCGCCCCCCGCACGGACGGGCTCCCGGCCAGCGGCTGCGTCCGAGTGCCGGCGTTGCCCGCCCGCCCGACCATCGGCGGCGGGGGACTCGGGCCGGCTGCCCAGCCCGGCTTCTGCGTGGCTCTGGCGGAAGGACGCGCCGGCGGGGCCGCCGCGGGGAGGCAGTCCCGCCCGACGCGCTTCCCCATCGTAGGATGCCGAGATGGTCCCTTCTCCTGCTGCCCCGTCTTGCAGCTGGAGGGCTGGCGGGGGAAGCTGGGCGCTCTGTTCGTTAGCAGCGTCCGGACGCTGTTCGGATGCCCTTGGGACGGCCTCCCGCGGCTTCTGCCCGAGCAGCTTCCCGGGTGTGCGTGGCTGCCCTGGAAAAGCGTTCTCCCTCCGCGACGTGGCGGAGAGCCTCTTACTGCAGGGTAGGGGGCAGCCATGGAAGCTAGTCTCTTGCCCTGCATGGGCCACTTCGAAATGGGGAGCAGCCCTCTGTCCTTCAGCGTGGAGCATCTCGCATCTGCGTGCCACATCATTTCCTTCCCGGCATTGTCCGCCTGGTGCTCAGCCAGGTAGCTGAACAAAGGCTTGCAGGGGCCGTGGGGTGGGGGTTCCTGTCTTTAGCCCCTGATGGAGGGAGTGGCTTGCTCTGCTGGCACAGACAGCCATGCTGGAGGGGAGCCTTCCAGGCGGCGGCAGCCTGGCCCTGCTTTGGGAAAGGCAGTGTGTGTGTATGGGGATTGTGCACAAGTTTGGGGTGCAGGTGCTCTCAGGGCAAGAGTGTGCGGTGGAGTGGAAGAGGACTGGGACTCGGGCGACCTGGGTTCTTCCCTGCCAAGCCATGGAGCTCACGGGGTGACTTGGGCCAGCCCCTGGCTCTCAGCCCGGCCTGTCTCACAGGGATGAGGTTAGGGATGAGGCTGAGAGCAGCGTGGGGAGGCTGGTGTAAGCTGCTTGCGCGTGTCGGGAAAAGGCGGGACAGAAGCACTGCAGCACGTTGCCCGTGAACGGCTCGCGGCACCCTCACTGCACGCTGGTCCGCTGACCTCGCCTGGGCCCTTTGCTGGTTGGCGCCATCCTGGCCACGGGGCCCTGGCAGAGGTTTCTCTCCCTGAGGAATTATCCCTCCGTCAAAGCGTCTCTCCTGCCGTGCTCCCACTTGGGGGAGGATTGAGGCTCCGTGTTTCTGAGGGTGGGAGTGATGGCGTGGGTCAGCTGGCCTGCTCTGGCCGTGGGCTTGTGTCGCTCTGGGCTCCATCTGGAAGGATCGCTGCCGGATATCAGAGGCACAGCATTCTGCCCCGGCTCCACCACTGACCCTGGCCCTCTCCGGACAGGTCACTGGGCTGAGCACTGCCCCCGGCAGATCTCCCCGCTCCACGATGCTGCCTGATGCGACCGAGGAACTCGATGAGCCCGAGCAGCTCTCCTATGAGGAGACGGAGGACGGGGAGAGCCTCAGGTGAGTCCTGCCACGCCTGCCGGCCCGGGTGGCACGGGCTGTGGGTGAATCCCAGGGCGAAGGGCTGGCTGGGCGCTCTTGCCACAGCCCATTGCAGGCTCGGGCTGCCCTGTGGGTGGGAAATGTGCCCTGTGCAGAGAACAGCCCTGCGGAGCGGAGCGGTGCCTGTTCAGTCACATCCACGCTTAAGGCAGGGTTCCCTCAAGCGCCCCGGGCAGAGGGCAGGCGCCAGCAAGTCTGCCCGGGGCTGCTGGGCGCCTGGCCCTGCTGGAGCACCTCCCTCAGGCTGCACTGGGGCCTCCAAGGAGCTCCCCCGCGGGGGAAGGGAGCAGGGCCTGCGCCTGGCCTCGGGCTCCGCAGCCTGGGGAGGAGCCCCGGAGGGCCTGCCGCTCTGTGCCCAGGCAGGCGGCCCGGTGGCAGGGAGAAGGCCCAGCCCAGCTGCCTCACCCCGTTCTGTGTGTGCGGAAGGGCGGCCTCCAGCTCCTTCCTGCGTGGGCTGAGACTGAAAAAGGGCCGGCCGCGCCTGCAGTGGGAGGCGCCTCGCCAGCCAAAACATGCGCTGCACGGCCCCCTTCACAGCAGCCCAGAGCCAGCTGGGCTCAGGGCGCGGAGGCAGCAGGGCGTGGTAGTGATTTTGTGAGCTGTGCTCGCTCTCTCCCCCTCATGCACGCGCACGCAGGCGCTTGCCCGCATGGGCCGCAATTGCCGGCTGCCGTGCCATCGCTGCACCGCAGGGCGTGGAGCCCCCAGGTGGCGCGGCGCACTGGCCCTCGCCTCACAGGCCGCCTCAGCTTGCCCAGGCCCGGCCTGCCGCCGCCGCCCCCTGCCTGCCGAATCCCACGCAGGCCCCTCGTGCGCTGCCTCCACAGCCCCACAGACTTGTCGGAGCTGCTCAAGGAGGGCACCAAGGAGTCGCATGACCGGGCCGAGAACACGCAGTTCGTCAAGGACTTCCTGAGAGGGCGGATCAAGAGGGAGCTCTTCAAGGTGGGTCTCCTGCGGGGGGGGGGGGGGGGCTGCATCTGGAGGGGCCGGCCGGCGCGCTCGCCGGGCGGCTCCAGCTGGAGTGTGTCGCCGCCTCCCGCCGGCCAGCCGGCCGGGGCAGCATTCGCTGGTGCTTCGGAGCTGCCGCTCAAGCCCTCCCGGGTCAGGGCGGAGGCGGCGAATGGCTCCGTCGCTGCCTGCTCTCTGCAGCTGGGGGTGCCCCACCTCTGGACTGGCTCCCCGCAACCTGATGCGCCCCGGCGCCTTGGCCGCGGTCCCTGCGCCCCCGCCCTTCGGGCGTGCTGGCGCTGGTGGGAGCTGCTGCGGCTTGGGGCTCGCAGAACCGAGGCAGCACCGAAGCCTCGACTCTCCGCACGCAGCGGGTGTCTAGCTGGACCTGCGACGGTGGATCTCTGGTGCACTTGGACCCCCTGCCGTCCAGACCGCTTCTGCTGCTGTCCGCTAGAAATGCAAATTAAGTGGTGCTGGTCTGAGATGCGTGGAAGGCGTGGCTTCAGTCTTCGGCCTCAAGCTCGCTCCCCTGCCTCCTCCCCCGGTGGCCATTTCGACCTGTTCGCAGAAGGGGGAGGCAGGAGCCCGCGGCAGTCGGCCCTGAGCCCCCGCACTGCTGCTCCTGGGAGAGCTGCCGGCCAGCACTCCAGCCGGGCCCAGGGCGAGGCCGGAGGAGGTGGGCCAGCCGCCGCCGCCCTCACCCCCCACCCCGTCTCCTTGCAGCTGGGCACGGCGGCCCTCTACTTCACCTACTCTGCCCTGGAGGAGGAGATGGAGCGCAACAAGGACGAGCCCGGCTTCGCCCCCCTCTACTTCCCCCTGGAGCTGCACCGGACGGAGGCCCTGGCGAAGGACCTGGAGTTCTTCTACGGGGCGGGCTGGAGGGAGAAGATCCAGTGCTCGGAAGCGACGCGGCGTTACATGGAGCGCATCCGCCACGTGGGGCAGCTGGAGCCCGAGCTGCTGGCGGCGCACGCCTACACGCGCTACATGGGGGACCTCTCGGGGGGGCAGGTGCTGAAGAAGGTGGCCCAGCGAACCCTGAAGCTGCCCAGCACGGGCCAGGGGGTCCAGTTCTATACCTTTGAGAACATCGCCCACCCCCAGCAGTTCAAGCAGTTCTACCGGGCCCGGCTCAATGCCCTGGAGCTGGACGAGGGGACCAAGCGGAAGGTCGTCGAGGAGGCCAACAAGGCGTTCGAGTTCAACATGCAGGTGCGGCGGGGGCGGAGTGGGCAGACCCCACCTCAGACCACGCCTGCAGGTATCGCTGCACCTGCCGGCTGGCTCCACCCCCGAGGCAGCACGGGTGGGAACGGAGGCCAGAGAGGCAGGGCAGGGGGCAGCGCGGGTCCTGCGTGCCCCCCTTGGCTAGGTGTGCTCTGGAGTCCAGCAGGGGGGCAGCGCCCTTGAGGTTCTCTGGGGGGCGGGGCGGGGCCCCTTCACTCTGGCTGAACTGGGCTGGGCTGGGCTGGGCTGGGCTGGGCTGGGCTGGGCTGGGCAGAGCGGCGCCTCCTCCCTGCCCCGTCCTCCTCGGCTCCTGCAGGCGGGGGCACCGACGGCAGTGCGCGCAGGTCGCCGGCTGGCGTCTGAGCAGCCACCCGCGGTGGGGAGGGAGTGTCGTTTGCCACGCGCGGCCCTGGCGGCTGCCGGAAGCGGCTCCGAGGGGCGGCAGCGCCTCCCCTGTGCAGGTGCCCGGTTCCCGCAACAGCCGCGGAGCCGCTGTGCCGTGGGGCGTCCGAGGCCCGCTTCGGAGGGGTGGGGCTGGGCACTGCCACTGCCGCAGTCCGGCGCTGGCCTGGATGGGGCCCAAGGCAGAGCGAAGGCCAGGCTGCCGAGCCGGGCGGTGGGGAGTGTGGAGGATACGCCTGGCGCCCACTCAGGGCTGCCCTTGCCGTGCTCTGCAGGTTTTTGAGGAACTGGACAAGATCGGGGCTCGGTTAACTGAAGAGGTCCAAGATGGCGGCCCCCCAGTGCACGGTGGGACGGGGGACCCTCACAAGTGCCCCTACTACGCGGCTAAGCTAGGTGAGTCTGCCTCCTGCCTCTGCCTCTGGTTGCTTATTCCCGCCCTGCGCCGGTTCTGACCACGCTCCCGTTTGCCCCCGTCCAGCTAGCACGGAAGGCGCCGGCTGCCCCTGCCACCTCGCCGTGGCCCTGCTGAAGCAGCCCTCCGCCCAGCTGGCCCTGGCGGCCTGCGTCGCCCTCGTGGCAGGGATCGCGGCCTGGTATGTGATGTGAGGCGGGACGCACCCCGGGCGGCAGTCGGGGCAGGGATGCCGTGTGGCCGGAGCGATGCCCGTGGAGGTCTAATGCCGGATTTCATTACTGAGACATTAAACACAAATGAAGCAGAGCCGAAGGTCTATGGGGAACGTTCCAGGGATGGGCTAGTCCCGCAGAGCTGGAGGGTCGCTTGCTTGGCTGCGCAGCTTGACTGCCGAAGGCGTGCAGGCAGTGCCCGGCCTCTGTCCTGTGCCCCCCCCCCCCCCCGCTTTCGCTCGCTTGGTGTGTGGGTGGAACGGTTCGCCTCTTGAGAGCGGTTCCCGCCCCCCCCATGCTCACCTTGTGCGCTCCCCCCCTCGACACCACCTCTGGGCATGGGATTAGGGGTTGCTGACATAGCGAGTTTAATCTTCATGTAACTTATGGATTGTGGTAACGCTTCTGAGATAATAAAATTTGTACTTCGGTGTCTGGAGCTGTTGGGTGGGCCAGGAACACAGGTGGCTGCACACGGACCAGCCACCCCTCCGCTACGGCTGGGGGGCTCCAGACCGGCACACAGGCAGCCGGAGGCTGGTGGGGGTCGGAACTGGCAGCACGTCGGTTCGATGGCCACACACGAATAGGAACGCCACGGCAGGTCCAGCCATCGGCTGACTGCTCCCACCTTGCGGGGCAGAGGCCTTCCATGCTGGGAGTGGGCGTCTCCAGAGCAACTCCGAGGACCACCCGCCACGCTGCCGTCCTGGGGGTGGGCAGGCGGGCTGCGCGGTCCAGGTCCCTGGCGTTGTCCCCGCTTTTCCGCGGGAACAGCTCCCAGAGCAACATAGGTAAGGCTGGGCATGAAAAGTGACCCTCCTTGAAAGAGTCGTGTGCGCAGAAGGGAGGGGCAGGAGGCCCTGCAGCAGCCCCATGGCCCTGCCCCCCCTCGCCCTCTGCCGGGACCCCTGCGAGAGCCCCCCACTTCTGCTGAAGTCTCCCCCTCCCCGAAAATCAGGCATCTTTCCAGCTACCATATTGAGGGCCGCCTAAGGCGCCCTCTCGCCCCCCTCCCCGCTTGCAGCAGTGGCCTGCCAGGTGCGCCAGGCTGGAGGGGAGCTGGGGCTGCGCTGGCCCCTTTGTCCGTCCCGCGGCACCAGCCGGTCTGCCCGGAGCCCCCCGCACAAGAGCGGGCGGCAGCCTCCCTGGCCGTGAGGCGCTTTCTTCACGCCCTGCGGTCGCCCTCCCTCAGTCGCCTCCTGAGGACCCCAACCCCTCCCCGCCTGGGGAGGGGGCTCACCCCCAGGCCCTCTAAGCTCACCCCCGTATTGTAGGGGCTGCTGCTCGGAATGGCGTCTTTCTCGCCCCACGTCTGCACAGGGGGGCAAAATCGGGTGCAGAAGCGCCGTGCAGCCGGACGCCTGTCCCTCCACCCGCTCTCCTTCGCAGAAGGCCGTCCTGTCCCCAGGCCCTCCCCACCAAGATCTGGGCCCACTGCCCCCCTGCCGGACCGGAGGAGATGCCCAGCAGCACCAGCCTTCTGGGCCCCCGCCCCCCCCCAGGGAGCACTCGTGCACCGGCAGCGCCTGGTGGGACGGTCTTTTATTTAAATACAAACATGGAAAAGCACAGACAGTTCACTTCGGGGGAGAAACTGCGTGGAAGCCTCCCACCGGTGCCAAATCCCTCGCGGACGCCTCGGTGAGGCTCGGCGTGGAATCCCTGCACGCAGGAGCCCTCTGGACGGATCGGGGCCAGCCGGCCAGACGGAAAGGGGGCACACGTGCTCAAGGTGGGAAAGGGCCACACATGGGAGGGACAGGCTGGGAGGGGCACGTGCTGGCCGGGGGGCCGCTGGTCCCCCAGCCAGAGGATTTGGCGAGGGGCACAGTGGCCGCCTGTGCCCAGCACCCGCAGGCTTCTCGGCCCCCTGTGCCCGATTGCTGGTCGGTGCCAGGCTGGCTCCTGCCACGGAATTAGTGCAAAACCAGGTGGGGGAGGCAGGCGCCTTTCACATTTCGGGGGCACGTGGAATACCAAAACCGATCACGCAACGCGGGGCGGGCATGCTGCTGCGGGGGCTGCCATTTACATGCACGGGGCAGGGGAGGCTCACTGCAGAGGGCTCTGCCCCCCACACCAGGCGGCCCGAGGCCGAGCGCGGAAAGGGCCGAGGGCGGGTGCCGGGTACCTCCACTGCCGAGCAGGAGTCCAGAGCGCGCGGCCGCCCCCCAGGGCAGCGGAGGCCGGGCGGGGCGCGCTCCTCGGCCAGGAACGAAGGGCGTCCGGTGGACCCCAGGGCTGCGCAGCTGCAGGGCAGAGTGGCTCTGCCAGAGCGCTGCCCCCCGGCCCCGTCCTGCAAGCCTCACGGGAGCAAACGGCTGTCTGGGACCGTGCAAGTCAAAACACAGATTTAGGAACAAAAGACCCCAGATCCGATCGTGTGGAGGCGGACGGAGCTCCGTGGCACACACTGTCCCATGCAAGGGAGGCAGTGCCTGGGAAACGCCGGGGCTGCAGCCGGGCCCCGCGGCTTCCCCCACAAGCAGCAGAAGAGGGGTGCCGGTGGGGCGCCGTGGCCGGGGCCGTGTCCAGCCAAGCAGTGGGGCTTGGGCGAGTGGCTTTCGCGAGGGCAGGAGAGCGGCGGCACAGCCCCCCGGAGGCCTCCGCCCCGGTGCTCCCGCTCAAGAGGTCCCGGGCCGTTTGCGAGGCGCTCTGGCACCTCTGCGGCGGAGGGAGAAGGGACGGCGCAAGCAGGGGAGCGTGGGTGGGCGAGTCGGAGCAGCCGCACGAGGTGGGGAGGCCGCAGCCCCCTGACCCGCAGGCCCCGCTAGCACATGCGCTTGTATGTGTAGATGTAGCCCTTACAGTTGGGGCAGGTGTGCGTCACGTCCTTGAACTCGTCGATCAGGCAGGGGATGAGGCAGCAGCCGAAGTCGCACCTGGAAGGGAGGGGCGGCCATGAGGCGCCTGCCGCAGCCGTGGGAGCCCTCCCACGGCCCGTGTCCCCCCGGCTCGCTCAGCCCGCCCATCCCTGCAAGGGAGGCCAGACGGAACGGGACCGGAACGGTGGCCCCTCTGCCGGCCCACCGGGTGAGCCCCCATGCCGGGGAGAGCAGGGGGTCTCGTCGCGCACGCGAGCAGCTGCGGGAGTGTGCCGAGGAGAGACCTGCAGCCACCACGGGCGCCCTTTCCGGCCGAGGGAATGCCCCCGGCCAAAGGCTGCCGTGGGGGAAGCCGCTCGGGCCGGCCCCCAAGGCCCCCGCCTGGGCAGAAGCCGTGCCCCCCGCAGAGCCCGCCCCCGACGTACCCCACAAAGCAGCAGAAGAAGCCCAGCAGGAAGTTCATGAGGCCGATCTCGTGGCTGATCTTGGTGGTGATCGCCTGCTGGCAGTGCGGACACACGGTGGGGACGGGGGCGGCCTGGAAGATCTCGCCCTGCAGCACCGTCACCGTGGTGGTCGCCCCGGACGGCACCAGGACGGTGGCCGCCTGACCTCCTGTGGGGGCGTACGGGCCTGGGGGAGGGTAGTAGCCCATGGGGCCGTGTGGTCCCGGTGGCATGTAGTAGCCCCCTGGAAAGCAAGCACAGGGTACGGGGCTTCTGAAGCCGTGGCTCTGTTGCGGCAACCTAAAATCCCACTGGCCGCTTCTCCGTTTCTGCTTTACGAGTCCAAGATACTTTGCACGCCACCTGCCACGAACACACGCCAATCCGTTGTCCTGGCATAGCCGCCCCACGTCCGGCCTGCTGGCTGGCGGTGCATTCAGACGTGCTGATGCGGCGCTGCCTTGGGGCGGAAGCCGCCCGGAGCCGCCTCGCCACACGCCCCCAGCCCCGCGCACGCCCCCGCTGCAAGGCTGAGCTGCCGCCAGCTAGGGCTCCGCAGCAGGCCGTGGCCCCTGCTCCGCACGTGGGGCAGGCAGGGGCCTTGACCCTCGCCCCCCCCCCGCAGCTTGAATGCAGCCGGGGAGCCGTCCCCCCCGACCCCCCCCCCCTGTGCTGGCTGAGGGCGAGCCCCGTGTCCCTGCATGGACGCTGCCCCCCCCCCCACACACACACACTGACACAGCCCGGAGTCCCATTCAGAGATCCCCGTCACCCCCACAACTCACCAGGAGCCACATAGGGCACCGATCCGTCCGCAGGCATGGCTGGAGGAATGAAGCCAGGCTGCGAAGGAGGCTCGTAGGGTGGGGGCCCGATGTCGGCGGGGGGCTGCACCATGCTGGGCGAGACGCTGCCTGGAGGACACCGAGAGCGAGAGACCGTTTCTGCCTGCCAAGCACCGTGGAACGACGATGCCGCAGGACGTGCCCCCCAGCTCCTTCCGGGCGCTGCGTGAAGGAGCACCGTGAGGAGCCAGGCCCACCCTGAGGCTGCCTCCAGCGCCCTCTGCAGCCTCACCAGGGCCCCCTCCCCGGGCTTGAGGGGCCCTCGGCAGACAGAGAGCTGCCCCACCTCCAGCGGCATTCTGGGCCTTACCTGCTGGGAAAGGGGGGCCATCTTTTTCTTCTATGAGTGGTGCAGATGGCCCCCCCGGGTAGGGCGGAGGAGGGTCGCTGGACATGGCCTGCAAAGAAGCAAGAGCAAGGACCGCTGGAGAGGAGACGCCACTGCAGCACAGGGGTGCTCTGCACCCGGAGGACGAAACGGGCGCCCCAGCCCCGGGGCAGAACAATCGGGAGCGGAAAGGGAGAGCAGCTCCTGCCCCTGCCAGATCGCTGCCCTCCCCTATGAAAGCTGCATCTGTTCCCAGCCCAGTTCACGCTGCCCCCCGTGCCCCCCCCCCCACCTCCCCCTGGCCACATGCAGAATCTTTCTAAGAACTGCACACAGACGGCCTTTTCATCAGGACTCTCATGGGCACGTTTTGCCAAGGGGCCGGCCGTGCAGGCCGTGGGGAGGGTCTGTGGCACTGGCGGGCCGAGCCCCCCCAGTCAGGGGCTCGGGCACAGCAGCTTCACTGCACAGGCTGGCAGGCCTCCCGCGCGGGGTCCTGCCATGGCACCTACTCCCGCTGCCGGTGGCACACGGGCCAACCTGCCCACACCGCAAGAATCCCTTTCTCCGGACTGCGGCAGCTGACGGTGTCTCTGCAGCAACTCCAGTGGCTGAAGTGCTCAGTGCGAGGTCCAGGCGCGCTCTGGCCTGCCAGCTGCATCCCTCTGCAGTCGCCCTGAGCATCGGGCACAAACGGATGGCATCATGGAAATCAGCCCCTCTGCCCGCACCCATCCCTCTGTCCTTCGCGGCCACAGCAGTCTCCCTTGGTGGAGATGCGCTGGAGGCAGCGGGACAGCAACGCACCCCGCGACGGCAGCGGAAGACGGGGCGCCCATCGCAAGGCGGTGACGGCAAGCCCCCCTCCGCCCACTGGGGTGCCTGTGGGGGCTCTGTGGCGCCTCTCCTCCTCCCAGAGCGCCCAGGTCCGCCTTGCGCCCGCAGCCACTCTCCGGAGCTGGCCCACCGCCGCGGGGCTGAGCGGCAGGGCCGGGGATTCGGGGTGCGTGGCAAACAGGTGGGCCACTCTCCCTCCCGAGGAGGCCTCCCCCACCCCGTCTGGCACGGGAGGGCAGCCCAAGGCTCTCCCTGCAGCACGTGATCCCGACTGGGCCATGGGATGCAGTCGGCGGGCGAGGCGAACATCCCTGGAGGCGAGACCCGGTGGGATCGGGGCGGTCTCAAGGCGGCTTCGCGGCAAAAGCACTCCCCTGCCACCCCGATCGTGCGCCCGATCCCTTCTCCGGTTCCCTGGGGGGGAGCGCCCGAGTGACTCAGCAGCATCGCCCCGTCCTCTCCCAGACGGCCTGACCCACACGCACCCAGAGCCCCCGGGGCGCAGGGACCCCGAACAGAGACGCCTTGTCAGGCACCTCCGGCCCTTCACCGCCGAGGGAGGGCACCCGGAAAGCGCCCCCCGAGCCGTGCCAGGCCTCCCGCCGCACCCCTGCCGTGGAGACCGCTGCGCAGGAGCGAGCCCCGGGCCCCGCCGCGCCGCGCCACGGGGAGGCCGCGCCGAGCGCCTTCGGCGGCCGGGATTAAGCCAGCGGGAAACGGGAGCGGCTGCCCCACAGCGACCCCCCCTGGCTCCTCCAGATAATGCAGGCCAAAACATCCGCGCACACGGCCCCAATCCAGGGACGAGGAGGGAGGACCGCTGGCAGTCCCCGCGGCAAGACCGTCCCGAGCTTCCCGGAAGGGGCTCCGGGCAGGCCCTCTGCAGCCGGTGCCTCGAACCGAGAGCGGGGCGGCATCTCGCAGATCCCTGAGCAGCTCGGAGCTTTTCCTGGGGCCCAGCTGCCTGCTCTGCTGGGTCTCAAACGGCTGTTTGCTGGCTGCACGGCCTTCTCCAGCGCAGTGTGTTCCAGCCACGTTTCGTGTCCACAAGGAACAGGCTCCTTATCGCCTCGCAATCAAAAGTGTAAACAGTGTGGTCACTTCAGCCTTGGCCCACACCATCAGGTCTTTCTCAAGGAAGCTTCTAGTCCTCATGGCTCTTGGCAAAACCAGATTCTGCACATAGCGCCGGCCTTGGGAAGGCGCAGTTGCGTCCCGCATCGCGATAAACCCTGTGCTGAGTGGTTTTGTGCAAATCCCCCCTCATCAGGGAAGGCATGAACCACATGGCCCTGCCAGGGCAAAGAGCAGCTCCGCAGGGCTGGCAGGCAGGGCCAGAAGAGGCCCCAAGGCGGGCAGCCCAGCAGCACCCCCTCCACTGCAGCAGCCTCTCCCTCAGGGGCCGGGGCCCTCAGAAGCCCTGCTCAGCCGCCCTGCTTCCCCCAAACGCAGCAAGGCAGCCACAGCTGGGATCACACCTGCCCCCCCCCCCAAGGATGGCTTGGCAGTCCAGAGAAGCAAATGCAGGGCAAGAGCAGAGACAACGGAGGACAAGGAGGGGGTGCCAGTGAATGCAGTGCCCCCCCCCCCGAGATGTGCAGCTTTCATTTGTCCAGGCCATGAAACCAGCCCTGGAAGCCGCCGTGCTCCAGACAAGAGGAATTCCTCTCGCCCACCAGCCCGTCTGGCCCTGAGTGAAGCTTTGCCTCATTCAGGCGCAGAGCAGCATCCCTGCCTCCCCAGCGCAGGAACTGGCCACTTCCCAGCTGCAGGATCAGGAGTGGGGCAGAGAGGCAGAAAGAGGAGCTGCTGGGAGGTCGGGCTGGGGGGGGGGGGGTGAAGCTGTCCCCAAGCACTGAGCAGAGGCTGGGAAGGCTGCCAGCTCCAGTCTCCTTGACATGAACTCGTCCCCAGCACCACAGTCCCCAAACGGCTGCCGGGGAGGCTGGGCGGGAGGCAGTGCTGGGCTGGGGATCAGGGCCTCCCCTCTGGCAGGAGGGAAGCCCTCTTTCAAGGAACAGTCCCCCCTCCAGAGCAGAATGAAAGTTGGGGATTGGGCGTTTTCCCCCTCTGCAAAGTGCCATGTATTACCAACAGCCTGGTTTCTCCAGAACATTCAGGAAGAGAAATGTGGTTATGAAACAGATTCCGGTGTGTGCGCCTGTGAGAAACCTTAGCTCCTGACCCTCATGCTGTGGGAGGAGTGGCCCTCCCCTTCAGCGGCTCCAGGAGGCAGCAGGGAGCAAGGCGAGCAGTGTGTGTGGGGGGGGGGGGGGGGGCTGCGGCCAGCCCTTGAGCACAGCATCTGTCAAAGCGAGGGCAGGGGAAAGTCGCCCCCCAAGCCGCACATGCCATCCCACGCCGACGGACTGCTCTGCTCGCCAGCTCCTCGCTCTGCTGCCCCCCCCGAGACCCGGCCATCCTCGCCACCCCCCCCCCAGGCGTTCTGTGCAGGCCAAGGAGTCGAACGGCGAGCGCAGGAATACGCAGCTCAGATGGACACCCGCGGGGCATCTCCTTCATCGCTAGGGAGATTTGGAGCCGAATGAAGGGAAGCCTGCAGACGCGCCAGCGCAACCAGCAGCAAGCCTCGCATCACCTTGGAGCATCTGCTGGCCAAGATGCAATGCACAGACCGGCCTGGCAGGGCAGGCTCAGCACCGCAGCAGGAGGTCCGTCAGCCGAAGCCCCTTCCCCCGCAGCCTCCAGGCAGGGCAGCCAGCGGCAGCCGCCCCTTCCAGTCCGGAGCAGCGCCTCCAGGCAGTGCTCAGCAAAGGCCCCGCCTGGAGCCCAGGGCAGCCGGGACCGCTGCTCTGTCAACAGGATCGCGACAGCTGGGGGGGGGGGGGGGGGGGGGGGCCGTCGGGCGGCAGTTCCCAGAAGTTGCGTGATAGCACAGGGCTGCCCCGGCCTTCGCGCCGCAGTGGCTGCCAGGCGCCAGACCAAGTCCCGATAAGCCCGTCCCCAACCTGGCGCCCCCCGGCATCCCATCCGCCCAGCCAGTACGGCCTCCTCCGGCGCCCTCCAGGAAGCGGGGAGGCTGCATCGGGGGATCCGAGCCGGGGGGGAGGGGGCTGCCGCCGCGGCCGTCCCTCGTGCCAACGGACCCACCTGATCGCCGGGCCGCTCCTGCCCCGAGGCCGCCCCCTGCCGGGGTCCCGCAGGGCTCCCGTCCGCGCCCGAGCCTCGGCCTGAGCGGGTCCCCGCGCGACGTGGACGCACAGCCGGCCCCGCCCCGCGCCGCGCTCGGCGTCACGCTTGTTTTGCAGCCGCGGTCGCTTCCCCGGCGCCTGCGGGGCGACAGCGGGCGCCGTGCGCGGGCTGCTGGGAGCGGTAGTCCCCACCGGGCCGG